GAAAACAGTTACAATTATTCAATTAACTCAAAGGGTCCAAGACTTTAGGTTTACACAACATGACCAGTAACGCCGGTTATGGAGAGGAGGTCAGGGTGGGAGGGAATGAGGTCTTTGCAGAAAATCACTTTAAAAAAGTGCAGAAAAGCAATTTCCTCTTGACCATGGCCTTCCTCCAATGACTCTCTTTCCACAGAGAAGGACTGGACACCAAGAGCCCCTTTTCGGCCTCTGCCAGTTTATTTCCTCAAGGCTTTTCTATTCACAAATCTAGCCCTGAAAGTCTTGAATTCATATTCCCCCATAAAAAATTAAGGATCCCTTGGAGAATCAAACTTTTTGAGGGGACACCTACTGCTACAATGTGTGGGAAGATATTATTGGGAAAACCCCCACACTGCATACCTGAGTCTCAGAGAATAATTTTTTTTTTCAGAGCTAAATTTTGGGAAGACCTCACTCTTTTCTTCTCCCTGAGGAAGTGGTAACTGTTTCTACGAGAATACTTAGAACAACGCTGACCAGGTTGGGTTGCCTTTTTTCCTTTGGTTTTCGCGACTTCAGTGCCAAACTCACAGCCCACAAAATGCTCTACTTTTCATGCTCCAGGTTTTCTTTTATCAATGCCTCTGATTCTAGTTCATATTTTCCCAGGTCCCTATTTTATTTTTATTTTACTCTGTATTTGTTTGTCTGTAAATAGGTTCAAATCCTTTGAGAAATGTGGATTTGAAAAAAGAAGGAAGGAGAGAAAGAAAGAAAGAAAGAAAGAGAAAGAAAGAACAAAGAAAGAACAAAAGAAAGGAGGAAAGAATAAAAGGAAGATAGGAAGGTAAGAAAGGAACACCCCGAATTTTCCTCATAATTGAGCAGAGTAAGAAATGGCTGATCAAATATACATTATGGTTTCTTTACTACAAACATAGAGACAAGATCATAAAGTTTTATTTTCCCTTAAAAGGAACCAATAATAGGAACTGTGATAGAGCGGGAGGTCAGATTTACAAGGGCAGGGAGAGCTTAGAGACAGAAAGTAAACACACCACAGTATATTTTGTGTTTATGTGCCTGTAGCCCAGGTAGGCAGGAGTAAGAAAATCTGCACTGGTCGTCCTCTAAGCCCTTCCTCATGCACCTTTGGGTTCCAAGAAACACCCTGTGAAATTGATCCCACGGGTATTATCTCCACTGAGGAATTAAAGCTCAAATGTCTTAAAACCACACAACTAAGATTTAACACACTGTTATATAATGGATAAGACAGGAGACAGTGGTGCCGGACCCAGCTTGAATTTCCAGTTCTACTATTAATTATTTATGAGACTTTGACGTGTCACTTAACCTGCTTCCTCCTATTTAAATGAGAACAATGGGCACTCTCTGCACAGTTTCCTCGCCCTCCTCGAAATGTTCAGCAGACCTTGTGCCGTCTCCAGAAATCTGACTTGGCTGGACCTCACACAAGCCTGGTCTGGACTTTCCCCTTGGCATTTTCTCCAATGCAGAGCCTCCTCTTCCGCTGCAGGGCCGTCTCCAATGTTCCAGCTGACAGCCACCCCAGCCAGTGCGCTTTCTGATGAGCCCGTGCACATCCGAGCCACAGGCCTGCCTCCGTTGCAGCTGGTGACCCTCGCGGCATCTCTGAGGGATGAGAAGGGACACCTGTACCGGTCCAAAGCCTTCTACAGGGCTGACGAGGCCGGTGAGCTGGACCTGAAGCAGGCTCCTGCAGTTGGAGGCGACTATGTGGGGGTCCATCCCATGGGCCTCTTCTGGTCTATGAAGCCTGACAGGCCTTTCGGGAGGCTGCTTAAGAGGGATGTGAACAGCCCCTTTGTGGTCACTCTGGACTTATACGACTCAGTTTGCTCCCACGATTCAGCCACGGCTCAGCCCCGGGCCAGCCAGGTGGTGCAGCGCTGGTTCCACAGCCCCGGGACGCAGCGGGTGCCCATCCGAGAAGGCCGCGTGCGGGGAGCCCTTTTTCTCCCTCCAGGTGAGACTGGTCTTCGGTGGTGGAGAAAACAGTGTTGATGGAAATAAAGGCACAATCACAGGGCATCAAAGTATCGGAGGACTAGTATGTCCCACGATCTATTAAAACGAACTTGCCCTTGTGCGTTTGTGTGTGAAGGTAGAATTCATTTTGCTCTGCCTGTGCTCTCTGCTGGACCCTCTTCTCCCTCTTTCTAATCCCATTCTCTCCTCTCTTTGCTGTTCTCAGGGGAAGGCCCTTTCCCAGGAATCGTGGATATGTTTGGGGGTATAGGGGGTCTAGTTGAATTCCGAGCCAGCCTGCTGGCTGCCCATGGCTTTGCAGTCCTGGCATTAGCATACTTTGCCTATGAGGACCTGCCTAAGCACATGCAGGAGCTGGACCTGGAATATTTCGAGGAAGCTACCAACTTGCTACTAGCTCATCCCAAGGTATTTAAAATTTTTTTTCATTTTACCTTGTAACCTTATAGCAAAAGACAAAAAAAAAAAAATCTCCGATGTCTGTTCTGATCATTTTACCAGTCTGTTTAAACCTGGGCATAGTACAACAGTTTACAGTTAAAATGGGAATGCTATTATCTACCTTGTAGGATTGATGCTCATATCTGCCTTAGGGGTCTCTGGGATTGATTGGAGATCAGCTTAGTGCTTACTAAGTACCCAGTGAAGAAAAAGACAAGAAAAAAAGGGTGGATATATTATGATGATTTTCAATGGGCAGAAAGCCAAGACTTCTTCCCTTTTAAGTGCTTGCTTTGCCCTAACCAGTTAGGCTCAGTGGATAGAGCGTTTGCCTGCAGACTGAAAGGTCCCAGGTTCCATTCCAGTCAAGGACATGTACCTTGGTTGTGGGCAAATCCCCTGTAGGAGGTGTGCAGGAGGCAGCTGATCGCTGTTTCTCTCTATCCCTCTCTCTTCCTCTCCATAAAAATATCAATAAAATATATATTTTTAAAGAAGTGCTTGCTTTTTATTTTCAATGGGCTCTTCAATGTTTTATCAGGTGATTGTGATGACAGAAGGGTGTTGGGAATACAATTGTGAGCAAAATAACTTACCAGGTGGCTATGTCTTTGCTGTAGTCTACCCAGAATGCTGGTCCTTTCCTCCCTTGTCTCTCAGACCCTTTCCTCCCGCTGCTCCCTCAGCCCACAATAGAAGGAAGGACCCACTCCTCTGACCTACTGCTTTTCCTGTTGGACTGGGTCCTGAAATTCACCTGTCGGTAGAATTCAAGTCTTTTCTCATTAGTATTAGCCTTTGGGTTAATGGACGTGCAAAACCTCTGTAGCTGTAAAATGCTACTTAAATAGGAACGACACTGACATATTATTTGAAAGAGCCCAGGAAACGTCTTCTCCTAGCTGGAGAGAAGAATTTGATTCTTCAGAAAGCTCACCTACCTCTGCTTTCAGGATGTAGATTGTTGCTGGTGCATTAGATCCTTCGGGCTTTTATAGGACTCTGCCTTTGATAAAGTCTTTATTTCTATTGTTTCCCTTGAGCCTCAATAACAATCCTGCAAGGTAGGTAATACTATCACCACCCCCCATTCTCAAGACAATAGGCTTAGAGAGGGGAGGTGGGCAGTGTTCACAGTTGCAAAAGCTGGTGACCCCGAGTGCCAGGACTCCCTCCCCACTTGTGCTAATGCCCGTCATACTAGCTAGTGGCCTGTGGCCCGACTTCTCAGTGGATGGCCTGCCATGGGTTCCCTTCATTTTGTGTTTCAGGTCCGAGGGCCAGGCATCGGAGTGCTTTCCGTGAGCAAAGGTGCAGAGATCGGGCTGGCCATGGCCTGCTTCCTGAAGCAGGTGGTCGCCACCGTCTGCATCAATGGGCCTACTGCCCTCTATGACTTTCCGTTCAGGTACAGGGGTCTGGTTATGTCACCCATTCCCTCGTTTCTGGAGCTGATGCGGGTGCACGTCTCAGGGGCTGTGAGCCTCCTCCACTACAGGGGGGACCCCCGGGAGAAGCTGAATCAGCGGAGCGTGTTTCCTATCGAAAAGGCCCAGGGTCAGATCCTCTTCATTATAGGAGAGGATGACCAATCGATCAATAGCAAAGAATATGCTAAGCAGGCCCTGGAGCAGCTGAAGAGCCATGGGAGAAGCAATGGAAGGATGCTGCTCTACCCAGGGGCAGGCCACCTTCTAGAGCCGCCCTATGCTCCTCTGTGCTATGCATCCCGTATTTACCCCGTTTCTGCTCCCCTTAATAACCCCATTGCCGGGTCCTATAATTACTCCTTTTCTCAACCCCTGCTCTGGGGAGGGGACCCCTCTGCGCATGCTGCAGCCCAGGAGCACGCCTGGGGAGAGATCCAGAAATTCTTCAGGCAACACCTCACTCAAACCAGAAGCCAGCTCTGACCGCTGAGGCTGAGATGGAGGAGGATAAGGCAGGGATGTGGTGAGGAGAGGGGCCCTTCTGATTTCTCTATATTCACAATCATCTTGAATGAACTGCAAGAAAACGGGACGAAATCAAAGGACTAGGGCAGGGATGGGCAAACTTTTTGACTCGAGGGCCACAGTGGGTTCTTAAACTGGACCGGAGGGCCGGAACAAAAGCATGGATGGAGTGTTTGTGTGAACTAATATAAATTCAAAGTAAACATCATTACATAAAAGGGTACGGTCTTTTTTTTTTTTTTAGTTTTATTCATTTCAAACGGGCTGGATCCGGCCTGCGGGCCGTAGTTTGCCCACGGCTGGACTAGGGCATAGGTGCCTCTGAAGTATTTATGACAAATTTGTATGTACTTTGAATTTTTGTAAATTAAATATTAGTGTATATGCACCAGGAAATGTTGCTATTTCAACGCAAACTGAATCTTTTGTACCCCTGTTAGGGATGTCTTGGGTCCGGGTATTGCCACCACCTGAACTCTCCTATTAAAGATAGCATCTCTAAAAATGGTCAATTTGATGTTATATGCTTCATGATGAGATGTAAGTTAGAGTACCCAGAACTACCTCTAATAACACCGTTGAATTTGAACTTAAATAAGCCTTTAGATCAAGTGTCTTATTAATGTGGTAGCTAGAGAACAAATTAAATGGGACTTACAAAAAGACAGTCAAACAAATCCAGATTGTGGGTCATTCCATGACGTGGTGTCTTTATTTTTTTTAATTTTTTAAAAAATATATTTTATTGATTTTTTACAGAGAGGAAGGGAGAGGGATAGAGAGCTAGAAACATTGATGAGAGAGAAACATCGATCAGCTGCCTTCTGCACACACCCAACTGGGGATGTGCGCGCAACCAAGGTACATGCCCTTGACTGGAATCAAACCTGGGACCCCTCAGTCTGCAAGCCGATGCTCTATCCGACCCTCTATCCACTGAGCCAAACCGGTTAGGGCGACGTGGTCTCTTTACAAGTTGATTACCAACTGACCTGGTTTCTTCACAACTTGGTTGCATGAAAAATTTGCAATGGAGGGATCAGACTGTCATCTGAATTCTTCATATAGAATTTGATGTTAACAATTATATTCCCTCAGTGCTCTAGTCTTTATTTTGGCAAGTGTAATGCTTGCTATAGATTTCCAGTTGATACTTTAATTTTTCTTTATTTTTTTTAGAATAGGATGCTTCTTTTTATCCCCAAAATATATTTCTTATTACAATTTCAATCAGTAATGGGATTGAATTTAATCAAGTGCCTTTGTTGTTTCTTTACATGCTATCTCCTTTTCCTCTTAGTTTGACTCAGCAAATACTTGTCTATTCTAGTGATCTTTTCTAAGAATAGCTTTTGGTTTGGTTATCAGTCAAATCTGATTCATCAATTTCTGTTTCTTTAAAATAAATGCATCCCCAATGAGAAGTCTGATTATTACTCCTTTGTGGGTTTTTTCCTTCTTTCTTTGAAACCTTTTTACAATTTTATGTTTGTTCTTAGTGTTCTTTGAGTCCATCAAAATGTGGCCAGGAGTGGGTCTATTATTTCTGTT